CCGTGCTGTACATGGATGTGTTGTGAAGCCTTACCTGTTTGTTGTCGTGATCTTGTAGGATTCGGCAGGACAGTTGAAATCCGAACTGCTGCATGTTCTGCCTGATGTTGAGGTGAGTGCTGTCGACATCGTTCTGTGACTCAGTCCACAAGTGCGTTGTACAGTAAAACCTGTCAAGGCGACCACTCTGATGAGGCGACCACTCTGATGAGGCGACCACCTGTCCCAGAAGACTAATTCAACTAAGGCCATGGGGTGGGATTTCCGCTCGAATAACCCTGGATAAGGAGACCACCTGTACATTTTTGAAGGTCCCTTGAGCGGTCGGCTAAAGCAGGTTTCATTATCCATGTACAGTGGAATTCACCTACTTGTACTCTGACAAGACAATACACTTGCTGAGCACGGGCGCTGTCCGGGCACGCGTCTATTGAAGTATGCTGGGATAATAGGTACATTCTTCAGTACATGTACATGATTGTACTTTGCATGAGCTTGTCCTCTGTATACTAGTATATGCGTGCCCAGTTTGATGCCTTTGGCTGATGTGCGTGTGTCTAATGCGTACTACTGCTAGCACGGTTTTGACTGCTTTCCTATTCCAGTATTGTTTTGTTTTGCTATTGTGTCTTACACTGTAGTCGAATCCAGCGTACTACCGGATGATCAGCAACCCAATAGACCTACGCATGATCCGCACCAAGATGACGGCTTCGAAAGTATGCACTCTCTCTCTCTCTCTTTCCCCCTCTCGCTCTCTCTCTCTCTCTCCCTTTCTCTTTCTCTTTCTCTCTCTGAAAGGCTGTCAATAAGTCTACTTCTTCGTTTTCTCTAGCTTGCTGTCACTGTAAGAGGCCAGGTAAACTCTCTCTGGTTGTTGGTGTATGGTTTTTGTTGTCTTCAAACTACGCACAGACAACTATTGCCATGTTGTGACTGGTGTGTGCGCTGTAAGTTTGCAGGCTTGTTCGTGGACTGTTGCAGTGTGTGAATGTTCAAGTAAAATGCCACCCATGTACAGATGTGGACGTTGTTTTGTTGTTTCTCTGCGTGCTGAGTGCATGTGTCCTGTGTGCATGTGTGCTGTTGTGTGTATGTGTGCTGTTGTGTGTGTGTGTGAATGATACTCAGTATAAGTCACTGTCTGAAGCTGGCCAGGATTACGAACTGCTGTTTTCCAACACAAGGCAATTCTACCCGGAGGGATCCTACCTTCACTCGGTACGTTTAACCATGCAGACTGCCCGGAGCTGCATAGGGCAGCTTTGCTTCTTTTTTGTGTGTGGCTGGCTGCACACCGTCTTCATGTATCCCATATTAACTAAGACCTAGAGAAGGTACTACCGATAGCCAGTGTAATACAATAGTACATGCATGCAGTTTGGCATGATTGGCACCACCTTTGTGAGCTATGCTGTATATACACAGCAAGTGGTGTGCTGTGTATATACACAACAAGTGGTGAGCTATGCTGTATATACACAGCAAGTGGTGTGCTGTGCTGTGCTGTGTTGCCTTTACCATTCCCTTTTCTTGTAGATTGCCAGTGATTTGGAGAGTATATTGCGGAGACATGTACCAAGGACATCATCTTTGGCCGCACAGCGATCTTCCAGCGCGGGTAGCAACAGCAGCAGCAGTGCAAGTGAAGCAACCGTCGCTGCAGCCAAGGCGGTCGCGGCAGCCAGGCAGCAGCAGTTTGCCGAGCAGTGGGCGCCGCGCAAACCCAGCGACCACACGGTACGCTTCGCCGAGCTGTTCCAGTGTCAGAAGTCGGTGCGTGCCGGATTTGCGCTGCACGTTCTGCGCGGCAAGTCCTACGCCTCGGCGCACGACTTGGCCTGCTACCTGGGCGTGTGGCCACCGCTGGACTTGTTCAGACTCTATCCTCAGCTGACACGCATTGTGGTGACAGACTTCCAGGAGAAGAAACTCTTGGAGGCTCAGTCTGTGAAACCGTGCGATGGCTTTCTGATAGTGCTTGTCCCATCACAAGTGGAGGCCATTGTTGTCAACAGTGCTCGCTACAAAGATGGCTTGCCTCAGTAAGTTGCTGACATTCTCCTTTCTGTGTATTGCTGCTGCTGCTGCTGCTGCTGCTGCTCACTTGTTACTCTGTAACGTTGTCAGCTCCTCAACACACAATAGTGCATGATTTTGACACGATTTACAGTGCATTGCAGTGTACAGCATGCCGCTGCTGTCGAGTAGGCTTGGAGGAAAACAACTGTGTGTGTGTGTGTGTGTTTGTGCATTTGTTTGCGTGTGTCTGTCTACTATGCATCACTGCAGCGGCAGCAACTCAACAGGCAGTAGCAGTAACAGTAGCAGTAACAGTAGCAGCAGTAGTGTGACTGCACAACGGCCTTACCCTGCCACCACTGTCAGTGCGCCTACCCAGTCTCAAACAACATCTTCATCTGCTACATCAAGCTCAGCTAATGCTCAGGCATCAGCTGGTCACGTGCACTTGCAACGCCGTCCCAGCGGTAAACCAGCT